CGTCGAGCTTCGAGAGGTTTCCATCATTGAACAGGCTGACACTCGAAAACCAAATTCAAAATCTACTCACCGAAAAAAAGAACCCATTTTCTGAATTCAGTTTTGTGGAAAAATGCATCGATCTGCGTTTCCATTAATATTGGTTTTACTGATAATTGTAGAGCTGAATGCAAGCGTGACTGCATTGTATGGGCCATCATCCCCAGTTGTTCAGTTAAATCCCTCCAACTTCAAGTCCAAAGTAAGTGATTTTTGGACGTAATTAGATATGCAAATTTTTAGATTTGCGCATATTTGGATTTTTATGAAAATTAGGCTTAATTAATGTCATATAATGAGAAGCATTTGATATGTTTGTGTAGTCATTATTTTTCAAATTTCTGACCATAGATTTCATAAAAAGCTGGTGGGCATATAAGATTTGTATCTATATGTCTCTGTTTTGCGTATGATTGTGTTATTCTTTGCTGCGGTTTCTTGGATAAGCTGAGAATTCAGCTCGTGTTAACTGACATAGCTATTTCCACGGTTTCTGTCTTTTTTTTCCTGTTGAATTTATGGATTTTATGCTCCTATCAGCGAATAAAATCAAGATGTTTCGTTTAGTGGTGTTAAATAAGCCCTGGAATTGTAATTTGTAAAGAATCTCTTTAATGTGAGTGGTATTTCCAAAGTCCAAACCAAAGCTAGCATAATGGTTAAGATATGTTGTTGATTTCCATATTAATGGTAATACTTGAGTAAACAACTAGAATGAGGACTTGTCCGAGCTTTAATTTTGATATAGTTGTATTCAATCTTCATCTTTTTATTTATATTGTGATTTCGGTTGCATTCCGAATATAAGATTATCCTTTTCCCCCCCTTAAATTTGATGACATTTTACCACTGTTTGAAAATTGCTGTATTTTGGTTTTAGTGCTATATGTATCAAGCAGAGATCTAATTTGTAGCCTACACGTTGCTTATTGTCTGACACACAATTTTCTTAAATGCACTGTTGCAGGTCCTGAATTCAAATGGTGTTGTTTTAGTTGAGTTCTTTGCCCCTTGGTGTGGTCATTGTAAAGCATTGACACCTACATGGGAGAAGGCAGCCAGTGTCTTGAAAGGTGTTGCTACTGTGGCAGCTCTTGATGCCGATGCTCACCAATCACTGGCTCAGGTTTCATTTAGTTGAGAAATTCTCTATAGTGACATGATCAATTCAAGAAATTTTTTTCCTGGTGACTACAACTTTATTTTATTGAGAAGTTTGGTCAACTTTAGAAGCAAGAATTTAATTCCACAAGAAGCATGGTGGGGATCTTTTGGAAAAAATTAACACTGAGCGCATAAGATAGAGAAGTTTCTATAGAAGAGTGAGGAGAAACTTTAGATGTATGCATATTAATTATGGGTCAAGTTTTATGGTTATGTTTCAGATAATTATCATGTTATATATCCTGACTTGGGATTAGGTGGTAGATGGAAAACTAGTTTTACATCTCCATATTTACATTTCTGGTCAAGCAAGATGTGAAACAATTCATGACTTTTCAACTAAATTGCTATATAAGATATCTATGGTTTCTTTTAAAAAGAATTTAGAAATTCACTTATCTTTAGGGGTTCTGGAATTTATTATAAATAGGAACTGATGTCATGATGTGTTTTCTTTTCTCACTTTGATGGCCAATATATATAGCTATGAGAAGTCACCATGCTATCTACGCAACGCTGTTGTATAAATGTTTCATCTTTATTTTTCTTCAGGAATATGGAATTAGAGGCTTTCCTACCATTAAGGTCTTTGCTCCTGGGAAACCTCCAGTTGATTACCAAGGAGCTAGGGAACTCAAGCCTATAGCTGAATTCGCACTGCAGCAGGTCAACATTATTTCCTTTTATTTGTGGAAATCTATTAGTAACTTTGTCTCTATTTATTTGCTCCTTCATGCTTTTGTAAAATAACTGCATTGATTTTCTGCACGGAAGAAAGTGTGAATTGTCTTATGACTTTTAACTGTATTATATTATCTGCAACTATCACCAGCTAATGTTAACTATTTATGGAAAAGAAGTAAAAAAACAATCTATATGGAAGAGATAGGTTTTGGTACGTAGCTAAAATAACACCCTTAGGTTTACAGATGTAGAATTGTGTGTTATACATGCATAATGTATCATTTTCTTACATGCAATTTATTTTGTTAACCATTGTATTGCGGTTGAGGGTCCATGAGTCAAGTACTATCAAACTTGCTTTCATATGCATAATCTGTGGTTGAGAACGTAACATCATTTTTGGTAATGCCAGTGAGTTCGCCTTGTGAACCTGGGCAGAAACTTTTTTTGACGTAAAAAGCAATTGGAGGCTTATGCCTCGAATCTTGTCTCACATGAAGCTTTCATAAATTTCCCTAAATCTCACTCGTTGATTGCCATTTGAGATGCTTTTGCCTCAATTTACATGGAGGAAAGTAGACGATTGTTAGTGGAGGATCATGAAAAAGAATGACAAAAAAACTAATACCAAGGGATAACATGATGTTGATGACTCCCTTATGGCATCGCCAAAAAACTCTTTAAATATAAGATTCTCTCTATTTTAAAGAGTCAACCTTTAAAATTTTGCTTCAAGAGACTGTTTAAATTAGCATTTTAAAATAGAGAGTGAATTTGGAGAGTCAAACCCACTCTCTATAATTCAATGCACTCAAACTATTTCAATTTTCAATGTTGAAAAATAAATACCTTTTGGGAGTAGTAAAAGTAAGTGATAAAATAAAGAGCCTCTTGGAGCACTTAAATTATATGCTCTCTAAATTGCTAAATATGTTCTTTAAAAATAGAATATCTTGGATATGCTCTTAAAGATTATATTTGTAGTGTGATTTAACATATTTCTAATTATTTTTACTTTTCTTGACCTCCATTTGAGGGTAATTTATAAATAGATAGAAATAAGTGGTGGATAAGTGGATAGTACTTGTGAGTTCATTGGAATGTGTGATTGAAAATGAAGTTTGATAATTTATAAATGATTTATATATTTACCTGAACGGAGGCTTAATATATTACAATTTTGTTTTGTGACTATTAATTTGATATTGAGCTTGTTTGGGGTGGCTTAGCTTAAAGATAAGCAACAAATATGTTGCTTATTTTTAATGTAAACCCACGTACATTCAAAATAAGTCAACAAAAGCCTCACATTTGGACCTTATCTTTTAGATAAATCATCCAAAGATTTTAAACGTGCTCATTTTTTGCTACCTTTTTATTTTATGTTTGTTGTCAAGATAGATTTTTAATTTTGTTAATTTGTTGTGGATTTTTAAGTATGGTTTGTAGTTTATTATCAGCACTTTTTATATTTTATTTTATATTCTTTTGAATTATTTTATTGGTTGTCTTGAAGCTTATGCCTCTACGAACAGATAAAACACCTCAGTACCAACTGGGCCTTTTTCAACTATGGTTTAAGACTATCTCTTTTTAATACAGATTAAAGCACTTCTGAAGGAACGTTTGAATGGAAAGGCAACAGGAGGATCGAGTGGGAAATCAGAACCTAGTGCTTCAATAGAATTGAACTCGAGTAATTTTGATGAATTGGTAACTAAAAGCAAAGAACTTTGGATCGTAGAGTTCTTTGCACCTTGGTAAGTTGTCTGCTTGACTTGTTTTTCTTTCCTTCATCCTATATATTTTAACTCTGGATGAAATTTAACTAAGCTGCCCGTTAATTGCTTTCTCTAACTGATGTCAGTGTTAAACACATAGTGGAATTACAACTTTTTTCTTCTTAAATTACCACAAACAAGTTTAATGAAGTATACAATGGTAGCAATTCAGTAGGCATGCATTTAAAAAGTGAGATCACTGTGATGACATGGTTTATAATTTATTAGAGTTCACATAAGGCTGCAATTGAACCAAGCTAACACGAGGTGACTTGTTAGGATTTGGTTTGTTTTATGAGTTGATGATAAGCAAGCTTAATCTCAGGTTGCTAGCTGTTACTTGGTCGTCGTATCTAATAATCCCAACTCTTATTTTCTACAGTGCAATATGTTGTGACAAGAGCACGGGATGAAAAAGAGATTTAGATGTAAACAACATCAAATTCACAATTTGGAATAAATCGAGCAGAATATTATCTGAAACAAAAAACAGGAGAGCTTAATTGAATCTCATACTTCAACATGTGACAAAAAACTAAGCCTTGTTCCCAATTTGGCTACATAAATGTTATTCTCCACTCTGTTTTATTGTGTATTAGGATTAATATGATAAGATTTGACAAAGTTTTATTCTAGCGTCAACATACTGCTACCCTCCTTTACTGGGCTAAGGACCGGCTATGTAATAGACAGAGTTAATTGGATCTCATACTATTATATAATTGCTTCTTTGAATATTTATCTCCCCTGCTAAGCTTTTAGGCTTGAAACTTGACCTAGAGCTCTCAAATACTCAATAAAACGAAAATGATTAACTTGGTCAGAGGAAGAAAATGAAAGGATGTATTTTGAAATTTGTATTTTCTCAATTATGAATTTGGTGGATGGGAGGTGGAGTATGAAGGGGGGTGTTTGGCTGTTGATATTGTTCCAGAATGTGGGGAGGCTGATTCAGGTTCTTGCGTCATTTTGTTTATTTGCTTAATGTTTCAGAGATGCTATTAATCCATCCAATCGTTCTCAAAAACCACCAAGATCAAATAATTTTGCCAAACTTTACCTTGACATGCTCTTGCAGTTTATTATGCCATTGTTTTTTTTTTTTTTACCCAATACCACTGCAGATACACGAATGTTACTTGGATTCCAATTTATTGAAGATCGTTGCATAGTTTTTATTTAAACAAGCTACAGTGAATGAAAATATGTTCAGTCTTGGCTCATTTATTTAACAATCTCAGTAATTTGTTCAAGCTTGGCATGCTTATCTTTGGAACGAAAACAAAATATCTTCAGGCTGAGCATAACACAAGCAGTTGGTGAATGCCACAAGTCATCAGTTATTGACGAGTGGATTGGGAGTTCTATAAATTGCATTTTGGTGACAATACCATATATTCTTGGTGAAACTTTTGCCCTAGCCATGGTTTACATGTTTTCCACCTAGAAGTTGATTATCCCATTCGTTTGGTTGGTCAATTATCGTTTTTGAATGTTAAAACTCTTTTCGTCAGAATAATCTAAATTATGTACTTTTTGTGGTTGACCAGAATAGTGTGTATGTATATTACTTCACTGAAATATTCTTCTTTTTCTTAGTTAAAGTATTTTTTCCCATAACTTGAATATTTGCTATATACTTTGGGCTCTAATATCTGTGGCTCTTTTTTAGGTGTGGACACTGCAAGAAGCTTGCTCCCGAGTGGAAGAAGGCAGCTAATAATCTCAAGGGCAAGGTGAAGTTGGGTCATGTAGACTGTGATGCAGACAAAGTAAGTTTCAGAATCTAATATGATATGGTTACATATTAAATTGTTTCTATGCCTTGTATATATATTTAGTCCGGAATAAATGCTAGGCTGACTACTTTTATATGCATTTCTCTAAAATGGTGGGATGATAGGCTTTGCTTTGTGTTTCCATGTTGAATGTAAAACCTCCAGCTAATCTAATATCCCTTGCACAAGGTTCAGAAGTCACATCAATCTTCTTCAAAAACACACTGATGACATGGAACTAATAATGATTAAGGCTGAGATATGACTCGGACATTTGAAATTAAATGTGAGATATCTTAATTTTCAAGTTTCCAGATGTATTTGAATTGTTGAAAATTTTGTATAGAAGGCAAATGTGTTGCACATTTTTCTTCTTAAACCATCTTTCTTGATAATATTTCGTGCTGCACAAAATATTGAGGGATTATAAGTTGGGCTTCTTAATAGTGCACCAAGTAACTTTGTACTTACTGCTCAACCAGTGAATGCACAAAGTTGTGAGGTTTTCGATGGGAATGAATTTCGGTGGGCTAAATACGTCTCAAGAGAGAGATCTCCACATGTTTGTGTGATGAGCTGACTATCGTTTAATCTTCATGTGAAAGCACTTGACATGTAAAACAAAACACTGAAGACAGATAGAGCACATGTGATATCTAGCTAAGACATGAAATGACTGATTCTTGCTTAGGTACATGGACTCTAGTTGTGAACTGCATCCAATTTTGAGCATTTTGTGCAAGCTATAGTAGGTTAATGTTCAGACCCAAATCCCATTAAGCCCTTGTTCCACAATCGGTTAAAATATTGATACTGAATGTCATATCAAGGCAGACAAATTTAAAAATATTAAGATGTACCAATAGTGATCATAAATTGCAATTTGCTAAAATCGATAGAGTTGTTTGGAATTTTTGTGACAATTTGTCAAACATTCAATGACGTGCAATTAATGTATTTTCATGTACTTTTATCTCAATAGTGATGCATAATATGTGCAAGAGACAACTTTCAAAGAGTGCACATGAGATAGTAATTTGAATAATCTACTACTCATGAGAAGGAATAAAAATGTTTAAACCCATTCTCTACATTTAAAAAAAAAAAAAAA